ACCCCCCCCACCCCTCCCCCCCCGGATTAGACCAATAAACCCTCCCCCGGATTAGCCCAATGACCCACCCAGTCTGATCATCTCCACTCAAGGATGGAGCACTGCACCAGACCCAGCAGCACAAGCAGTCAGGTCCAACTCACACCCACTCATTATTTATCTAACCTATTTTTAAAACTACACAACGTTTTAGCCTGAATAACTGTACTCGTGATTTTTGTTCCACTCATCCACAACTCCTATTACCAACCATGCTTTCCTATATCCTTTCTGAATCTGAATTTTTCCAACTTGAAACCATTGCGGGCGAGTCCTGTCTTGGCTGGAAATTTTCAGCACGCTATTTACATCCCCTTTATTTATTCCTGTTTTCCATTTATACACCTCGATCGTATCTCCCCTAATTCTACGCCTTTCGAGAGAGTGCAGATTCAGGGCCCTCAGTCTATCCTCATAGGGAAGATTTCTGATACATGGGATCATCTTTGTCATCCTCCTCTGTAACGTTTTCCAGAGCATTTATATCCATTCTGAAATACGGTGACCAGAACTGAGCAGCATAGTCTAAATGAGGCCTAACCAAGGATATATAGAGTTGAAGAACAACCTGAGGACTTCTATTATTTATACTTCTAGATATTCTTTCTTTCTTTCAACACACCAGCCGTATCCCACCGAGGCGGGGTGGCCCAAAAGGAAAAACGAAAGTTTCTCCTTTTACATTTAGTAATATATACAGGAGAAGAGGTTACTAGCCCCTTGCTCCCGGCATTTTAGTCGCCTCTTACAACACGCATGGCTTACGGAGGAAGAATTCTGTTCCACTTCCCCATGGAGAACTTCTAGATATATTTATTATATTTTTTATTTATTATCACACTGGCCGATTCCCACCAAGGCAGGGTGGCCCGAAAAAGAAAAACTTTCACCATCATTCACTCCATCACTGTCTTGCCAGAAGGGTGCTTTACACTAGTTTTTAAACTGCAACATTAACACCCCTCCTTCAGAGTGCAGGCACTGTACTTCTCATCTCCAGGACTCAAGTCCGGCCTGCCGGTTTCCCTGAATCCCTTCATAAATGTTACTTTGCTCACACTCCAACAGCACGTCAAGTATTAAAAACCATTTTTCCCCCATTCACTCCTATCAAACACGCTCACGCATGCCTGCTGGAAGTCCAAGCCCCTCGCACACAAAACCTCCTTACCCCCCCCCTCCAACCTTTTCCTAGGCCGACCCCTACCCCCCCTTCCTTCCACTAAAGACTGATACACTCTTGAAGTCATTCTTGTTTTGCTCCATTCTCTCTAAAAATGTCCGAACCACCTCAACGACCCTTCCTCAGCCCTCTGGACAACAGTTTTTGTAATCCCGCACCTCCTCCTAACTTCCAAACTACGAATTCTCTGCATTATATTCACACCACACATTGCCCCAGACATGACATCTCCACTGCCTCCAGCCTTCTCCTCGCTGCAACATTCATCACCCACGCTTCACACCCATATAAGACGTTGGAAAAACTATACTCTCATACATTCCCCTCTTTGCCCCAAGGACAAAGTTCTTTGTCTCCACAGACTCCTAAGTGCACCACTCACTCTTTTTCCCTCATCAATTCTATGATTCACTTCATCTTTCATAGACCCATCTGCTGACACGTCCACTCCCAAATATCTGAATACGTTCACCTCCTCCATACTCTCTCCCTCCAATCTGATATCCAATCTTTCATCACCTAATCTTTTTGTTATCCTCATAACCTTACTCTTTCCTGTATTCACCTTTAATTTTCTTCTTTTGCACACCCTACCAAATTCATCCACCAATCTCTGCAACTTCTCTTCAGAATCTCCCAATATCTTCTAGATATGAAGCCAAGAATTCTGTTAGCTTTATTGCAAACACTAATGCACTGTTGTCTTGGTTTTAAATTACTGCTAACCAGAACTCCTAAATCCTTTTTGCAATCAGTAGTATTAAGATCTACATCATTTAGTTTATATGTGGCATGGTTATTTACCTGTCCAACATTTAGAACTTTGCATTTGTCAATATTAAACTGCATCTACCACTTCTCCGACCATTGCATCAGTCTATTCAAATCATCCTGGAGTGCTCTAGTGTCCTCATTAGAATGAATTGGACGGCCTATTTTTGTGTCATCAGCAAATTTGCTTATGTCGCTATTTATTCCCTCATCTATGTCGTTTATGTAAATTGTGAACAACAACGGGCCCAACACTGACCCCTGAGGAACACCGCTTGTGACGTGCCCCCATTCTGATTTCTCCCCATTTATGCAAACTCTCTGCTGTCTACAGTATACTTTTTTTTTTTTTTACCTGAACAGCTGTCTCTTGCCAAAGAAGAAAGCATTCACCTTCAGTCATTCTATTGCTGTCTTTCCAGAAGTGTGCTGACATTATTTCAAGTTACCTTCATACTGCAACAATCCACCCCTCATTCAGAGTGCAGGCACTGCCCTTCCTGTCTCCAGGAGTCTAGTCTGGCTAACCAGTTTTCCTGATTCCCTTCATTCACTTATGTCTAACACACTTGCACAGTGCTGCTGGATGCTCAGGCCTATAAAACTCGAAGCATCTTTTATCCCTCTCCCTCCAACCATTTTTTAGATAACCTCAGCATTCCACCATAGATTAAACTCCACCTTCATCATCCTGTCCTCTCTCTCTTCTCTGCATGCCCAAAATATAGGCTACAAGTGCAGGAAGAGCAGAGTATATGGAGAGTAAAAGAAAGGTGAAGAGAGTGGTGAGAGAGTGCAAAAGGAGAGCAGATGAAAGAGTGGGAGAGGCACTGTCAAGAAATTTTAATGAAAAGAAAAAATTTTGGAGTGAGTTAAACAAGTTAAGAAAGCCTAGGGAAAGTATGGATTTGTCCGTTAAAAACAGAGTAGGGGAGTTAGTAGATGGGGAGAGGGAGGTATTAGGTAGATGGCGAGAATATTTTGAGGAACTTTTAAATGTTGAGGAAGAAAGGGAGGCGGTAATTTCATGCACTGGCCAGGGAGGTATACCATCTTTTAGGAGTGAAGAAGAGCAGAATGTAAGTGTGGTGGAGGTACGTGAGGCATTACGTAGAATGAAAGGGGGTAAAGCAGCTGGAACTGATGGGATCATGACAGAAATGTTAAAAGCAGGGGGGATATAGTGTTGGAGTGGTTGGTACTTTTGTTTAATAAATGTATGAAAGAGGGGAAGGTACCTAGGGATTGGCGGAGAGCATGTATAGTCCCTTTATATAAAGGGAAAGGGGACAAAAGAGATTGTAAAAATTATAGAGGAATAAGTTTACTGAGTATACCAGGAAAAGTATACGGTAGGGTTATAATTGAAAGAATTAGAGGTAAGACAGAATGTAGAATTGCTGATGAGCAAGGAGGCTTCAGAGTGGATAGGGGATGTGTAGATCAAGTGTTTTACATTGAAGCATATATGTGAACAGTATTTAGATAAAGGTAGGGAAGTTTTTATTGCATTTATGGATTTAGAAAAGGTATATGATAGAGTGGATAGAGGAGCAATGTGGCAGATGTTGAAAGTTTATGGAATAGGTGGTAAGTTACTAAATGCGTAAAGAGCTTTTATGAGGATAGTGAGGCTCAGGTTAGGGTGTGTAGAAGAGAGGGAGAATACTTCCCGTAAAAGTAGGTCTTAGACAGGGATGTGTAATGTCACCATGGTTGTTTAATATATTTATAGATGGGGTTGTAAAAGAAGTAAATGCTAGGGTGTTCGGGAGAGGGGTAGGATTAAATTATGGGGAATCAAATTCAAAATGGGAATTGACACAGTTACTTTTTGCTGATGATACTGTGCTTATGGAGATTCTAAAGAAAAATTGCAAAGGTTAGTGGATGAGTTTGAGAATGTGTGTAAAGGTAGAAAGTTGAAAGTGGACATAGAAAAGAGTAAGGTGATGAGGGTATCAAATGATTTAGATAAAGAAAAATTGGATATCAAATTGGGGAGGAGGTAGTGGAAGAAGTGAATGTTTTCAGATACTGGGAGTTGACGTGTCGGCGGATGGATTTATGAAGGATGAGGTTAATCATAGAATTGATGAGGGAAAAAAGGTGAGTGGTGCGTTGAGGTATATTGGAGTCAAAAAACGTTATCTATGGAGGCAAAGAAGGAATGTATGAAAGTATAGTAGTACCAACACTCTTATAGGATGTGAAGCTTGGGTGGTAAATGCAGCAGCGAGGAGACGGTTGGAGGCAGTGGAGATGTCCTGTCTAAGGGCAATGTCTGGTGTAAATATTATGCAGAAAATTCGGAGTGTGGAAATTAGGAGAAGGTGTGGAGTTAATAAAAGCATTAGTCAGAGGGCAGAAGAGGGGTTGTTGAGGTGGTTTGGTTATTTAGAGAGAATGGATCAAAGTAGAATGACATGGAAAGCATATAAATCTATAGGGAAGGAAAGAGGGTAGGGGTCGTCCTCGAAAGGGTTGGAAAGAGGGGGTAAAGGAGGTTTTGTGGGCGAGGGGCTTGGACTTCCAGCAAGCGTGCATGAGCGTGTAGATAGGAGTGAATGGAGACGAATAATACTTGGGACCGACGATCTTTTGGGAGTGTGAGCGGGTAATATTTAGTGAAGGATTCGGGGAAAACCGGGTTATTTTCATATAGTGGGACTTGAGTCCAGAAAGGGGAAGTACAATGCCGCACTTTAAAGGGGGTTTGGGAATTGGCATTTTGGGAGGGATATTTTGTGTTTTTTAACGAATGCTTCTAAACTGTTTGTTCTGAGCACCTCTGCAAAAACAGTGTTATGTGTGATTTGGGGTGAAAGGTTAAATGATGATGAAAGTTTTTTTTTTTGGGGTTTTTTTCTTTTTTTTTTTGGGTCCCCTGCCTGGGTGGGAAAAACCCGACTTGTTGAAAAAAAAAAAAAAAAAAGTGCGGGAAAAATTTTTGGAATACATTTTTTTTTTTTTCCTCAACAAGTCCGTCTCCCACCGAGGCAGGGTCCCCCCAAAAAGAAAGAAAATCCCCAAAAAAAAAATACTTTCACATCATTCAACATTTTTCACCTCACTCACACATTACACTGTTTTTGCAAGGTGCTCAGAACAAAACAGTTTGAACCATATACAATAAAGATACACAACTACCCCTCCAAACTGTTCCTAAAAAAAAATTTAAAGGATTTGTTGTATTGAATAAATTATCAACCCTTGATATAGGTGTAACAGGACTTTTAAAATCACAATGGGAGGGGAGGAGGCATGGAGATGTCATATTTAAGAGCGTGAAAAGGTTTTAAAAAAATACAGAGAAATTTTGGAAATTTGATACAGTGTACACATTCTTGAAATACCCTTCTTTTCTCTATTTTATTTCTAACCATTCACTCAGGTGAGCCTGGAAAATCATTTCTTCCAAGAAATTATTCTTTCTTGCATTTCATAAGGACTTTAAAACATTCCCACAGATTGTTCTGCTCACTATTATTGGGTGGTTTTTTTTTATCACATTGAAGAACCTATATACAGTTGTTATTTTCACAGTATAACTGCTGACTAAAGATGTAAATCATCATAGGACACTACTCCCCTCAAAGGGGGCTTCCTTGATGCTGATGAAGGGCTTTTATTTTAAGAAATTGGATCTGTGCTCCAATTCATTGAATCGAACCAAAATTCCTTTCATTCTCCCAGGTGCTGTATGACCCCTATTGGGTTTAGAGTTCCTCCCCATGAATGTAATAATAATCATAATGACTGCTGTCATGATCCTTTATTTTTTAATTGGGTATAAACATGTCCCCTCTAGGCCAGTAGATGCTTAATTGCTTAATAAAACACCACCACCATCCTCACTAACTGCTTCTATTAATAAAATACTATTTTGAAAATGAATTCTTTATTAAAGTTAAATTTATGCAAGTATCATAAAGGATTGTCCTGCACACTCAGATTTTATTGCACATTATTAGATATAAGGAACATTACTACTTAAGAGGGATAATGTATGTCATCCATCAATGACAGGTTACTTCGCAAATGGATTTGTGCTCCACTATGCAGTCCGTCAAGCATCAATAGTCGTTTGGATGGTATAGAAGATCTGCAAAACAACCCTGATATAATGGAGGAGGTGACAACTCTTCTCAAGAGTCTTCCTGATTTGGAGAGGGTCCTTGCCAGGTAAGTCAATATTGTATTGAAGTACTAAATCTGTGGGGATCATTCAGGATAATGTGTGGTGGAGGCTCAATCCTCTGTCTCCTGATCGTGGTTGAGTCTCTGACCAGTCATGCTATAAGTGGTCCCAGTCTTTAGGAAGCAATATTATCATTGCTCTGTTTCTCTGGAGAAGGTGAGAAATTGCTTGCCTTAAAATACTGAAGCAGTATTATGGGAGAAAAGAAGAGTGTGGATTTTATTCTTGTAATAACTTCCTTTCACAGTATCTTCCACAGCAGTATCTAAGCTGCTTCAGAAGTATGATGTAAAATGCTCTGCAAGGCATCTCAAATTGTCAGTGAATTATTTTCTAATAAATTCCTTTCTCTTATAGTTGTTTTCTTTTTTCCCCTTAACACATTGACCATCTCCCACTGAGGTTAGGTGACCTGCAATAGAAACACTTTCACCATTATTCACACTATCAGTGTCTTGACAGGTGTGCAAATATGACATTTCAGATCTCTCCAAACAGTAACTATCCCCACCCCTGGAGGTACTTCCCACCTCCAGGACTCAATTCATGCTAACCGGTTTTCCTGAGTCCCATCACAAAATGTTACCTTGCCCGCACTTCAGCAGGTCATCAGGTCCCAAAAACTATTTACCTCCATTCACTCCTGTCTAATATGCTTACACATGCCTGCTGTATTTCTTAAATACTTAATAATATTCCCATGGCTTGTTTGGGTGAGTAGTTTCCAATTGTGTCCCTTTATTCTTGTTGTAACTTTAATATAGAACCTATCCTTGTCTACCTTGTCTTTGCCCCACATTATCAATATTTTATGTCTTGATCATGTTCCTTTCATTTTCTACTAGTACACTATAAAAGGCATAATTTTTGCACTCTTTATAGCTCATTACCTTCAGCTTAGGCACCAGTTAGATGCTTTTCTTTGCACTCTCAAATTTTACTGTGTGTTTAATTAAGTAAAAGTTCTACAATAGCACTGCATGCTCTAGAATTGGGTCTCATGTATAAGATAAGTGTTTTGAGCAAGTCTTTGTCTAGGTTACTGAATGCCACTTTTATGTTTGTAAGCATAGCCTATGCTGCTGATGTTATGTTTATATGCTCTTCAGGAGATTGGCTTGGGGTAATGGTTATTCTTAAGTATTTTTCTTCATCTGTTTCTCTGAGCTTTTTTTCTCTTTCTTCCCAGATGCTGTACTGTCTTCTCACTTCATAATTTTGCTGTTAATTGGGTTGAATTTTGAGAAACAGTTTTTCATATGACACCAGTATGTAATATGAAGACAATATTTGTCATTAGTGAAAGTCATTTGGTGGAATACCATTTAAAAAGTAATATTTTTTTTTCAGAATCCACACTCAGGGCTTGAATCGCAACAACTCCAGCCATCCAGACAGTAGAGCCATATTCTTTGAAGATGTTAAATACAATAAAAAGAAAGTTACTGATTTCCTTGCTGGACTAAATGGATTCAAAACTACTCTTCAAATAATAAAAGCTTTTAAAGGTATGCCTTTTAATTTCAAGTGTTTTCCATTGACTTGCATGTTCCCTTTCATAGTGATCATGAAGTTTAATTCTTTCTTAATTTGAACATGACTTGTGTTCTCATGGAAACGGATAGTAAAGAAACCATTTTTTTTTTATCTTTCATAATGACTCACTTGAAGCTCTCTTTTCAGAATATTATCATTGTACTGACATAGGTCCTTCCCTTCTTTGGATCAAGCCTGGTTGGCTCCTATTCTCCAGGCATTGTATAACCTTTACAGGTTTAGGGCTTCCCAATTAATAAGAACATAAGAAAGGAGGAACACTGCAGGAGGCCTGTTGGCCCATACTTGGCAGGTCCTTTACAATTCATCCCACTAACAAAACATTTGCCCAACCCAATTTTCAATGCTACCCAAGAAATAAGCTCTGATGTGCAAGTCCCACTCAAATCCAACCCCTACCACTCATGTACTTATCCAACCTAAATTTGAAACTACCCAAGGTCCTAGCCTCAATAACCCAACTAGGTAGACTGTTCCACTCATCAGCTACCCTATTTCCAAACCAATACTTTCCTATGTCCTTTCTAAATCTAAACTTATCTAATTTAAATCCATTACTGCAGGTTCTCTCTTGGAGAGATATCCACAAGACCTTATTAATATCTCCTTTATTAATACCTGTCTTCCACTTATACACTTCGATCAGGTCTCCCCTCATTCTTCGTCTAACAAGTGAATGTAACTCAAGAGTCTTCAATCTTTCTTCATAAGGAAGATTTCTAATGCTATGTATTAATTTAGTCATCCTACGCTGAATGTTTTCTAACGAATTTATGTCCATTCTGTAATATGGAGACCAGAATTGAGCTGCATAATCTAGGTGAGGCCTTACTTATGATGTATAAAGCTGGAGTATGACCTCTGGACTTCTGTTGCTTACACTTCTTGATATAAATCCCAGTAATCTATTTGCCTTATTACGTACGCTTAGGCATTGCTGTCTTGGTTTAAGTTGCTGCTCACCATAACCCCCAAGTCCTTTTCGCAATCTGTATGGCTAAGTTCTACATCATTTAACTTATAAGTGCTAGGGTTATGTACACCCCCGAGCTTCAGAACTTTGCATTTATCTACATTGAACTGCATCTGCCACTTTTCTGACCAAGAATACAGTTTGTTTAAATCCTCCTGAAGTTCCCTAACATCTACGTTTGAATCAATTATCCTACCTATCTTTGTGTCATCGGCGAATTTGCTCATGTCACTAGTAATTCCCTCATCAAGATCATTGATATATATTATAAACAACAACGGGCCTAAGACTGATCCCTGTGGAATGCCACAGGGATCCACAGATCCCCACTCAGATTTAACCCCATTTATGGACACTCTCTGCTTCCTGTCTGTGAGCCATGACTCGATCCACGAGAGCACTTTTCCCCCAATGCCATGAGCTGCTACTTTCTTTAACAGTCTTTGGTGCAGAACTCTATCAAAAGCCTTACTAAAATCTAAGTAAATAATATCAAATTCTTTATCGTGGTCAACAGCCTCAAAAGCTTTACTGAAGAAAGTTAATAAATTAGTTAGACAAGACCGGCCTCTTGTGAATCCATGCTGAGTATCATTAATCAAGCTATGCTTATCGAGATGGCTTCTTATAATCTCAGCTATAATTGACTCTAGTAGTTTGCCTACAATTGAGGTCAGGCTTATTGGGCGGTAATTTGACGGTAGCGACTTGTCCCGTTTTAAAAATAGGAATTATATTAGCCATCTTCCACATATCAGACACTACACCTGTTTGAAGAGATAAATTAAAAATATTAGTTAATGGTTCACAGAGTTCCATTTTGCATTCCTTAAGAACCCTTGAAAAAACCTCATCAGGACCCGGTGACTTATTTTGCTTCAGTCGGTCTATCTGCTTCACAACCATTTCACTAGTGACTGTGATGTTACATAATTTATCTTCTTCTGGCCCACTATAAAAATTAATTACTGGAGTATTGTTAGTGTCTTCCTGTGTAAAAACCGAGAGAAAATAATTATTTAAAATCGAGCACATTTCATTCTCTTTGTCAGTAAGATGCCCATAGTTATTTCTAGGGGGACCTATCTTATCTCTGACTTTTGTTCTATAGACCTGGAAAAAACTTTTTGGGTAAGTTTTAGAATCCCTAGCAACTTTAATTTCATAGTCCCTTTTAGCTTTTCTTATCCCCTTTTTAATGTCCCTCTTAATGTCAATATACTGATTCATAAGATGACCCTCACCTCTTTGATACACCTATAAATTCCTTTCTTATGCCCTAATAGATATTTCAGCCTATTATTCATCCATTTTGGGTCATTTCTATTTGATCTAATTTCTTTATACGGGATAAACGTTCTTTGAGCCTCATGTATAGTGTTCAGAAAACTGTCATATTGATAGCTCTCTTCGTTACCCCAGTCAACAGATGATAAGTGTTCTCTAAGCCCATCGTAATCTGCTAAGCGAAAATCTGGGACTGTTACTGAGTTATCGCTACTATCGTACTTCCATTCAATGCTAAATGTAATTGATTTGTGGTCGCTAGCACCCAGTTCCTCTGAAACTTCTAAATTATTAACAAGGGATTCATTGTTTGCCAGAACTAAGTCAAGCAGGTTATTACCCCTTGTAGGTTCTGTCACAAACTGCTTCAAAAAACAATCCTGAACTACTTCTAAGAAGTCGTATGATTCTAAATTCCCAGTCAAGAAATTCCAATCAATATGACTAAAGTTAAAGTCTCCTAGAATTACTACATTATCGTGCCTTGTGGCCCTAACAATTTCCTCCCATAGTCGTCTCTCCTGGTCCCTATCTAAGTTTGGGGGACGGTATATCACACCTAAAATTAATTTTACATGCCCCTCTGAAAATTCTATCCAAACAGACTCTGTATGTGTTACTTCAGACTTAACCCTTTGACTGTTTCAGGCCCCTTTCTGAAACTGTCATTCTATGTTGCTCAATTTTTGAAAAAAAAAAAATTATTTTTTCTTATGAAATGATAGAGAATCTTTTCCCGATGGTAATGACACCAAAAGTTCAAAATTTGGTCGAAAACTCATGGAATAATGCTCCCGCGAAGTTAACGGTCTCGGCGACATATGCGTATCGGCGATTTCGCCGACTTTGAGCCCTATTTTCAGCCAATTCCATTGTTCCAGTTGACCAAACTCATAGCTATTTCTTTAGAACTCCATTTTATCTATCAGCTGAGTACAAGAAACCTCCCATTTACTAATTTGGACTACCCAATATAGTGGTCAGAAATTGGCAATTTGGCCAATTTCACGCAAACTAAAAAAGATGCCAATTTCAAAATAGGGTCCAGAATAAACAAGGTAGACATTCGTGGCACTAAAATAACATATGCTCTGTTCATTAGTCACATCTCTAGGCCCCTCTTATATTATTATTATTATATTATTATTTTGATTTTTTATTCATACAAAAAAATACAAAATTTACTGTTATGCAGACTACTGCATTATTGTAAAAATGGTATAAATAATATCAGTGCACTAGTGAAAGAATATTAGACTCCCCAGTTGACATGTATTGGACGTGTGATGTGATTTATTTACTCCTGAACATTGGTAAAAATCAAGCATTTCCTCTACTTTGAGCTCAGTTTCAAGGTCGTTTTCATCATCAAAGTAATGAAAATCATCTCTATTTCTGTAATATGTTTTCCATTTTATCACCTAAGACCATGAAAACGCGAATACAATGATAAATACTATACGAAAATACACCTCAAAGTCGCCGTTTTATTCCAAAAAAACGATCAGTTTTTTTTTCTCATTACGCAATGTGTGCTGCAGGATTTTTTTTATGTGATGCACACTGACCACACAGACCCATTCTCTCACATGTGGGCCTACCAGCTTTCTCCCGCTTGATTTGAAGCCGCTAGAATTATTGAGTATATATACGTCAGAAACATTGGCTCATAAGACGTATTTATACGTCGAAAACAGTCAAAGGGTTAATACCCGTTTTTATGCAACAGTTCAAGCGATCTCAGACATACAATGCCACCCCACCTCCCTTCCCGACACTTCTATCTACTTGGAACAATTTAAAACCCTGAATGTGACATTCTGCAGGCATGTCCCGACTTTTTTAATTAAACCACGTCTCAGTTATGGCAAATACATCAATGTTACCTGCACTAGCAACTAGTCTCAACTCGTCCATCTTATTCCTAGCACTGCAACTATTTGTGTAATATATATTTAAAGACCCTCCTCTCTCTTTACCCTTCCTGCTCCTTTCTGTTATTCCACTAAACCTATTACTACTGTCCTTGTCAATTAGTGCCACTGGCTTTCCAATATCCACCTCATTTTGCCTATTACTAGTTCTCCTAGTACTCATATTACTACACTGCGACTTAACTGTTTTCCCGCCAAAACCCATACCACTAACTATTCCTAGTTTAAAGACCTAACAGCTCCCTCCACTGCGTTGGCCAGTGCTCCCACCCCAGACCTAGATAAGTGAACCCCATCCCTGTCATACATGTCATTTCTGCCATAGAAGAGGTCCCAGTTGTCAATGAATGTTACTGCCGTTTCCTTACAGTATTTGTCCAGCCAGCAATTGACACCAATTGCTCTGGACAACCATTCATTTCCAACTCCTCTCCTTGGCAAAATGCCACATATGACAGGTTTCCCACCCTTCCTCCTAATTATCTCTATACCTGACCTATACCAGCTAATCAGGTCCTCACTCCTACGTCTGCCAACATCGTTGCCTCCAGCACTGAGACAGATAATAGGATTGCTCCCATTACCTCTCATGATGTCATCCAGACGGCTAACAATATCCTTCATCCCAGCCCCAGGAAAACACACTCTCTGCCTCCTACTCCTATCCTTCAAGCAGAATGCCCTATCCATGTACCTAATCTGGCTATCCCCAACAACAACAATGTTTTTACCTTCCTTGGCGTCGTCTTTCGTGATGCTCCCAGTAGTCGACTCACATTCGTCAGGTAGCATTATACCACTTGTCGGATTCGTCAAGACGTTGTCGATGGTCTTCGTTGGGGTTTCTAGGGATGTCTCACTCACGTCTGCCAATGCTTCCTTGGTGCTCATTGTGGCATTCCCAGTAGAACACTCACATTCGTCAGGTAGCACCGAGAATGGGTTGGAAGTTTCCACGGTAGTCTTCTGGTTTCTCATTGTTTCTGCCTCTCCAACCGTTTTCTTGATCCTCAGCTTGGTTCCATGTTGCCCGGCCACTGACCAAGCTCCCCTCTTAACCTGGGGACTCACAACAGGAGGATTACTACGAATCCTCTTGTTCTCCTCCGTTAATCGCCGTATCTCCAGCTTAGCAACTCTGAGCTCTTCTCTCAGCTGCTGGTAAAGTTGCTCAAGAGAGGGCATCCTGGTTCAGATTTCAGAGAGAGCACACAAACAGGTCTTCACAGAGCTAAGTACACGTCACCACTGACCAAGTATAGTACTGCACTAATAATAGGAGTAGGTGAACAGCTTACGTTAGGTAGCATAAATTTAATAATTTCTTACATTTTAATTTTTTTTTTTTTTTTACGTTGGCCGTTTCCCACCAAGGCAGGGTGACCCGAAAAAGAAGGAACACTTACATCATCACTCACTCCATTACTGTCTTGCCAGAGGCTGACCGACACCAAAGTTTAAAAATTGCAACTTATCCCCACCCCTCCATAGTTTTGTATCCAACTGAATGTGTCCCTTGCTGAAAGAAGAAACAGCAAAAACTAAATTTCTTGAACTGGGAAAGGACAAATTGGTTTCAGATATGTATACTTTGTGGAAACATGTTCTACACAGAAGTTAAATATATTTAACTTGAGTGTGGAAACATGTGTTCCAATCCCTGTCTACGAGCCACATCTGTCCCACAAGTTCATTGTCTGTTTTCCGAGGACCACCGGAGGGATGAATGGAAGTATCAGCAGCGCATAAATGTGTCTTTATTCAGACACACAATTTTACGATTACTCATAAGACGCAATTTTGGTGTTCAGATTTTGAGCCAGAATCTTCAAACTTTAAATTATTATTCATCATTGTTGGCCTACACTAAAGGGAATACAATATGTTGGATTTTGTATTCCCTGCTTCATAATATTTTTCATAAACAAAAGCAGTAAAGATGCCCTTGTGGATTTCGAGGCACTGAACAACTACACTTTTTTTTATATACCAAATATGCTACTGCCAGGAAAATGACAAGTTGGGTTTTGGGAATATTTTGAACAGATGCTACACCAAAGTGCTTGTGCTCTCATTTAGGTTTTGTACTCTCATCTCCTTTCAAGGCAGGTGAAGAAATTTCCTACTGTATTGAATTGGAAAAGTATTCAAACTTTTAGAAGTGCCTAAAAGCACTGAATGTATGCTGTGTGGAATAGATATGAGAGAGATCTTATAATATACAGATTAGAAACATTCAGAGGTTATGTCCCTAATCTCATTACTAAAATAAAAATCTACTGGTGTGAGAAATATGGGAACAAGTGTAGTATGAATTTAATTTATTAAAAAGGTTAGGTGCCATAGGCATAATTTGAGAACACCGTGTTAACAGTGTGCAACCCAAACTTTCTTACGAAGGTACAGTACAAGTGCTCAGGAGGAACATGAATAAGTTCTTCCAAACTGTGCCTAATCAGCCAGGGTGGGATGGCTGTGTAGGCTTGCTTGACTAATATGTTTAGCAGTGTCAGTAGACATTTTGTTATGTAGCTGAGTACCTGCCCTGATTTTAGCACTGAGTATCAGCAGACTTTTGCATAACACTGCAGTTAAATCCCTGGAAACAAGGTTTTGCATGAATCTGAGTTTGTTTAACTGAAGAATACATGGAAAAAATAGGGTTAGGCTACTGAGACCTCAGTAAAGCTACATAAGATTTCCTAAAATATTTGTTGACAACTTTCTTGTAGTGTAGGCAAAGAGCAAAAACCATTCTCAATATGACGTCTAGGTAACAAACTGACAAGAGGTACACAGTCCTCCCTTACAACAGTATAGCCAGCAATATGCCACATCTAACATCCAGTTGGCTACTGCAGTGTCCACATTCATCAAACTAGCAAGCAACCACTATCCACCAACCAGTTTTCACTGCAAGAGTCTACATGATCCCATGTAGTTACTACAGAAAAAGAAATACCAGGAAAAAGAAATAAAAGTTTGTGAATTAGGATAAGCGATCATGAAAATGCACGCAGTAGAGACATGAATAATAAATTAAGGTAGAATTACCAACAATATGTTAAGTAAAAGGACATAGGTGCAACTAATGCAACATTTTATTGTCAAGCCAGCTTGACAAAGCTCCTGGAGAGTGAAATGTTGCCACAATAAAGTGTCACATTAGTTGCATTTGTGTCCTTTTACTTAACAGATTGAGGTTTGTTTGGTAGCAGTAGCCATTCAAAGGTTTAGGTTATATAATAGAAAAAAAGAATGATTTCCAAATTTCATCATCTATGGCCTAACTTTCGTTAAAAAAAAAATTCTTGGTGTCCCTCCATCCCTTCCTTCCCACCTCTACCCCAGGGCACATGTGATCCATGAATGACATATTGTATTCTTTAATACATTGTACTCTTACTCAGAGAAGTCAGATATTTTTTTAAACTAAACTAATTTAATTATAATTTCTTACATGAGTCTATTCACTGAAATATTTTGTCCAGTAAATGAAAGTTAGTCAAATTTAAATCTGTTGTCTTGATGCATTTCGATTATTTTAGTAATCCTCATTTCTTTTTCAATATCTGGAACAGGCATCAAGACATCACTAAAATCAAAGTTGCTGCACAAATGCATAACAAATACAAAAGAGGGTGGCAATTTTCCTCATTTAAGTGATGCTTTAAAGTTCTTTGATGTAAGTAAGTTTTTATTTTGTTTTGCTGTCTGCAGAGAAAAATTAATTGTTATATTTTCACTGTGCATGTATCTCTATATGAGTCATCAACAAGTAAAAGGGCACAAGCATTACCTCAGCCAAAAACTTTATTTTTGTTACATTATGTTCCATTTTCTTTGTATTTGTCTTGTGGAAGGAGTGAAGCATTGTTACTGCATTATGGTCTAAAATAACCTGGAAAGTGAAGAATTGACCTTAAGATGCTTCATCTGGTCTGAGGAACCACCTTCCTGCTTCCTCTTCCCTCCCAGTTGGTGATAAACTTGACTGAAAAGTCCCTGCAAACAAAATAACAGGTGTAAGGGCCAATCTTGTTCATTAATATATTAACATGTGAGAGTAATGGTGGTTGGGGATTTCAATGCTAAAGTGGGTAAAAATGTTATGGAGGGAGTAGTAGGTAAATTTGGGGTGCCAGGGGTAAATGTAATTGGGGAACCTTTAATTGAGCTATGTGTAGAAAGAGATTTGGTAATAAGTAATTCATATTTTATGAAAAAGAGGATAAATAAATATACAAGGTATGATGTAGCACGTAATGAAAGTAGTTCATTAGATTATGTATTGGTGGATAAAAGGTTGATGGGTAGGCTCCAGGAGTACATGTTTATTGAGGGGCAAAATGATATAAACGGATCATTATTTAGTTGTAGTACAGTTAGAGTAAGAGGTAGATGGGAAAAAAGGAAGGTGGCAACAACAAGTAAGAGGGAGGTGAAAGTGTATAAAATTAGGGAGGAGGAGTTCGGGTGAAATAACCCTATTGGCGAAAGGTGGGTAGTAAAAAAGGGAGTGTGGGGGGTTGAAGGGGTTGGAAAGTTTTAAAAAGCAGTATTTTAAATGTGGGCAAAAGTTTGGGGTTATAGAGGGGGGGGGGGCAGGGGGAAAGAGGAGTTTTTGGTGGAATGATAAAGGGTAAAGGGTTTTAAAAGAAAAAAAAAGATAGCTTATGAGGGGTTTTTTTACAAAGCAGAAGTGTTATGAAGAGCAGGTTAGGGAGAGTAAAAGAAAGGTAAAGAGAGTGGGGGAAGATGCAAAAGGAAGCAGTGTAGAGTGGGGGGGCACTGTAAAGAAATTTTAATGAAAATAAGAAAAAAATTTTGGAGTGAGTTAAAAAAGGGAAAGAAACCTAGGGAAAGTAGGTTTGCATTTAAAAAAACAGAGTAGGGGAGTTATAGATGGGGAGATGGGGGTATTAGGGAGTTGGCGGAATATTTTGGGAATTTTAAATTTTTAAGGAAAAACAGGGCAGTAATTTCATGCATGGTCAGGGAGGTTACCAAATTTTTGGGTGAAAAGAGCAGAAGAAGTGGGGGGGGAGGTCGTGGGGCATTACGAAAATGAAGGGGGTTTAAAGGCTGGAATGATGGGATCATGACAAAAATGGTAAAACAGGGGGGAATATATGTTGGAGTGGTTGGTACTTTTGTTTAAAAAATGTATGAAAGGGGGGAAGGTACCAGGGTTTGGGAGAGCATTTTAGTCCCTTTATATAAAGGGAAAGGGACAAAAGAGACTGAAAAAATTATAGGGAATAATTTACTGAGAAACCCAGGAAAAGTGTCAGTGGGGTTTAATTAAAAGAATTAGGGGGAAGACAGAAGAGGATTCGGAGAGAAAGGGAGGTTTCAGAGTGGGTAGGGGATTTTAAATTCAAGTTTTTTACATTGAAGCATATATGTGAACAGTTTTAGATAAAGGTGGGGAAGTTTTTATTGCATTTAGGATTTAAAAAAGGCATATGATAAGGGGAAAAGGGGAGCAATGGGGAGATTTGCAAGTATATGGAATAGGTGGTAAGTTATTAAATGCTGTAAAGTTTTTATGGGGTTTTGTGGGCTCAGGTTAGGGTTGTAGAAGAGAGGGAGACTACTTCCGGTAAAAGTAGGTCTTAGACGGATGTGAATGTCCCCCAGGGTTGTTTAAAATTTTATAGAGGGGGGGTTGAAAGGAAGTAAATGCTGGGGGTTTTGGGAGGGGGGGGTGGGTTTAAAATTTTTTGGGGAATCAAATTAAAAAAGGGAATTGACAGTTTTTTTTTGTAGATCTGTGCTTAGGGGAGTTCTAAAGAAAAATTTCAAAGGTTAGTGGATGAGTTTGGGAATGTGTGTAAAGGGGAAAGTTGAAAATGAAAAAGAAAAGAGTAAGGTGATGAGGTGTCAAATGATTAAAAAAAAAAAAGGTATCAAAATTGGGGGGGGAGTAGATGGGAAAAAGTGAATGTTTTAGATATTGGGGGGCTGACGTGTCGGCGGATGGATTTATGAAAAGGGTGAGGTTAATCATAGAATGAGGGAAAAAAGGTGAGGGTGCGTTGGGGATTGGGAGTCAAAAAATGTTATCTATGGAGGCAAAAAAGGGAAAGTATGAAATATAGTATACCAAACTCTTTAGGTGTGAAGCTTGGGTGGTAAATGCAGCAGCGAGGAGGGTTGGAGGGAGTGGAGATGTCCTGTCTAAGGGCAATGTGTGGTGTAAATATTATGCAGAAAATTCGGAGTGGGAAAAAAGGAAAAGGTGTGGAGTTAATAAGGTATTATCAGAGGGGAGAAAGGGGTTTTGAGGTGGTTTTTGGGCATTAGAGAGAATGGACAAAGTAGAATGACGGAAAGCATAAAATTTTTAGGGGAAAGGGAACGGGGTAGGGGTCGTCCCCGAAAAAGGGTTTGGGGAAGGGGGTAAAGGAGGTTTTGTGGGCAAGGGCTTGATTCCAGCAAGTGTGCGTGAGCCCTGTTAGATAGGGGTGAATGGGGGCAATGGTACTTGGGACCTGACGATTGTTGGGAGTGTGAGCAGGGTAATATTTAGTGAAGGGATTCAGGGAAACCGGTTATTTTCATATAGTCGGGGCTTGAGTCCGGAAATGGGGAAAACAATGCCCCACTTTTAAAAGGGGGGGTTTTTGGGGTATTTGGGATTTGGAGGGTATGTTGTGTATCTTTGGTGATGCTTCTAAACTGTTGTATTCTGAGCACCTCTGCAAAAACAGTGATAATGTGCGAGTGTGGTGAAAGTGTTGAATGATGATGAAAGTATTTTCTTTTTGGGGATTTTCTTTCTTTTTTGGGTCACCCTGCCTCGGTGGGAGACGGCCGACTTGTTGAAAAAAAAAAAAAAAAAAGCTTCTAAGTATGTGTTTCCACTGCACTCATGCGAAATCATCTCATTGTATGCATTTTGTTGGTTTATAGTATCACTAGATGTTGGTAATTATAGATTTTTTTTTTTTTTTTTTCAACAAGTCGGCCGTCTCCCACCGAGGCAGGGTGACCCAAAAAAGAAAGAAAATCCCCAAAAAGAAAATACTTTCATCATCATTCAACACTTTCACCACACTCACACATTATCACTGTTTTTGCAGAGGCGCTCAGAATACAACAGTAGCATATACGTATAAAGATACACAACATATCCCTCCAAACTGCTAATATCCCAAACCCCTCCTTTAAAGTGCAGGCATTGTACTTCCCATTTCCAGGACTCAAGTCCGACTATATGATACTTTATATAGATACTTTATTGATATTTGTTTAACAATATCATTCCATAAATTACTTAAAATTGTTCTAATACATACACAAAGTATGGCTATGCAGCAAATTACATGTGCTCATTTATTTCCTGTTCAGCATAAATACAAGAAACTTGCAGACTCAGCTAGTGAAATGTCCCACAAAACACTGTTTAAATGATACAGATATTTTTACTAGTTTGAGTTATGACTTGTAAATTTTTGCAGTTTTTCAAAAATGATTATGCCTTTTTTACTTGCAGTTGCCTCATATCTTAGACACCAGGTTCTATCCGGAAAATTGGCATATTTGGAGGGCATTGCTTCACGTAGAATCTTCTCTAGACATTTTATGTATTATCAATTGCTCATGCCATAAGATACATCTGAAGTGCTTATCAGACATTTTCATCTGCATGTTGGCTCTCATATAAGTGAAGCAGGTGAGAAAATGATGATGACTTTAGCAATACAAAACCAGAAAAGACAGTAAGAGCTAAAAAGAAAGGTCAGCAGAGGAAACTATTCATTGCAAGGACACTGTGGAGAGGAAAAGTATGGAATGCATAGCCAAGTGGCACTGCAATATGATTAGCTAAAGAACTACCTCTCATTGTGCTTTTATGGTAGTCTCAAATGTAGATTCCCAAACTAGGTTAACTGGATGGTATCATTGATGGCATGCATTGGTCGTTATATGTAGGATTTTATGTTAGCTCTGTCCATAAAATGCTAAATACTGAGAAGTTTTGCAGCACCTTAATCAGTTTTATAAAACTTTCCAAAACTTTCTTTATTTTGAAGATATAAGACTGAATATGCAACTAAAATGCTGGGAGCAAGGGGCTAGTAACCCCTTCTCCTGTATATATTACTAGATTTAAAAGGAGAAACTTTCGTTTTTCCTTTTGGGCCACCCCACCTCAGTGGGATACGGCTAGTACGTTGAAAGAAAGAAAGAAGATTGAATATGCCACTTTGTGTAATAAAATATCTTATTTTTGGAAAGTTCACATACTCCTTTAAGTTGAAATCCTTGTAGATGTTTGGGGAAAAAAAAAAAAAAAAGCCAAGTTTGAGTGGAAATAGGATTGCATCTAAATTGTTATTGTAATTCTGAGAATACTGATTTTTACCTTGATGGATTTTACCTTGTTGGATGCCTCCTCCATTCATCAAGGATGAATGGGGGAGGCAAGAGGTGTGGGACTCAAAAGGAGTAAAATGAGGTCTGGGCTTCTTCTGCTTATTGTATAGGAAACTGGAAAATGTGTACTAAAACATAAGTGTACATAAAAAAGGAAGGATGTGTGAAAAAGAAAGCTGTGTAGTCATGACAGTGGTAGTAAAGTAGAAGTTTTAATGCTTTTTATTCATTGTTTAAATAATTTCTATAATTTGTGTGTAATTTACTTGTACTTCTGTGTTCACATTAATTTACTTGTTTACAGAATGCCTTTGATCATGAAGAGGCACAGAAGGAGGGCAAAATAATTCCCAGCCCAGGTGTTGACACTGAATATGATGAAGCAGTTGAGCATATCAAGAAAACTAAAGATGAACTATCAGATTACCTCGAAGAACAATGCAGACACTTTGGTGCAAAGGTAAGGCAAGAACAAATGGTCAATTCTTCTAGCTTAAATCACTTTATTAATTTTTTTTAAAGCACATCAAAGGAGATGGGGAAGGAAGGAATGAGAAAATATTTTATTTCCATTTTGGTAATCTGAAGATTAGCATGAAGACAGAATTTAAGTAGTGGAAAATAAAGTTAAAGAAATAAGAGTTTTATAGGGATTTCTTCTTGTCATGAAAGATGTATAGAGTTTTTTTCTTTCAACAAATCAGCCATATCCCACCAAGGCAGGGTGGCCCAAAAAGAAAACCAAAAGTTTCTCTTTTTAAATTTAGTAATTTATGCAGGAGAAGGGGTTACTAGCCCCTTGCTCTCTGCATTTTAGTCACCTCTTACAACACACATGGCTTACGGAGGAAGAATTCTGTTCCACTTCCCCACGGAGATAAGAGGAAATAAACAAGAACAAGAACTAGAAAGAAAATAGAAGAAAACCCAGAGGGGTGTGTATATATATGCTTGTACATGTATGTGTAGTGTGACCTAAGTGTAATTAGAAGTAGCAAGACGTACCTGAAATCTTGCATGTTTATGAGACAAACAAAAGCACCAGCAATCCTACCATCATGTAAAACAGTTACAGGCTTTCGTTTTACACTCACTTGGCAGGACGGTAGTATCTCCCTGGGTGGTTGCTGTCTACCAACCTACTACCTAGATGTATAGAATTTATATGCAGTAATTTAAAATGTGAGAGAATTGATAGAATAACTGGGAGTCTTGAGAAAATAATGACTGGTATATTGAGTTGGAAGAGTTGTTGGCATGCATCCATATTCCGGGACCTGTTTTAGCCCTTGGTTCATTTTTATCAAACATATTACTGGATTGAACAGCCATACGATATAATGGATTTGGTTCGGTTCATGTCTATTTTAATCAGATATCCTGTTAAACATGCATGTTGAGCCTTTGTTCAGCTAGATTTTTTTGTCTATTTTAGCCAACATCTACTTATGGAGGTCCACTTTATGGAGGGTTTACACTATACAGTGGACCCCCGGTATTCGATGGCATCGGTATTCAATAAATCCGGTATTCGATGCATTTTAACGCAAAAATTTTGACTCGGTATCCAATTGAAAACCCGGTATTCTATACGATTCGTACGAGACGTGTCCACGTGTGTGCCAGTGTTTACAAGCCAGCCAGTGTGCGCGCATCTAAGGATACATTCGGTACATTCCATATTATCATTGTTGTTGGTGCTTGTTTCTGCAAAATAAGTCACCATGGGCCCCAAGAAAGCTTCTAGTGCCAACCCTGTGGTAAAAAGGGTGAGAATTAGTATGGAAATTAAGAAAGATTTTGAAGGGTTTGGGACTAACCCTGAGAAGCCTGTGCCAGTTGTGGAATCCATTGTGCCTACTTCAAAAATTAAGAAAATGTGTGCACAGTGGGTTGAACTGCAAACCTTTATGGATGAAAATCACCCTAACACAGCTATTGCAAGCCATGCTGGTGACTATTACAATGACAATGTTGTGGCCCATTTTAGACAAATCGTAAAGGAACGGGAGGTACAGAGCTCTATGGACAGATTTGTTGTGCGACAGAGGTCCAGTTACTCTCAAGCTGGTCCTAGTGGCATTAAAAGAAGAAGGGAAGTAACCCCGGAAAAGGACTTGCTACCTCAAGTCCTAATGGAAGGGGATTCCCCTTCTAAACACTAACACCATCCACACTCTCCCCTCCTCCCATCCCATCAATCATCACCAGATCTTCAATAAAGGTAAGTGTCATGTAACTGTGCATGTCTTCTTCAGTTTGTGTGTATTAAAATTAATATTTCATGTGGTCAAAAAAAAAATTTTTCATACTTTTGGGTGTCTTGCACGGATTAATTTGATTTCCATTATTTCTTATGGGGAAAATTGATTCACTTTTCGATATTTTCGGTATTCGATGAGCTCTCAGGAACGGATTAATATCGAATACCGGGGGTCCACTGTATATGTATAAAGGTATCTTTCTCCTCCATTCCATAGAGTATGTTCGAAGTACTTTAAGGTATACCCAGTAGTTAAGATGTTTTATTGATACTATTCATTCAGTAAATGACTTCTGTACATCTACTTGCTCTGATCTCTCTCCTTCCTTCAAATGCTCTCCCAGTACAGTGATATGTGAGCATAATTGAATAGTACCTTAAATGGCATATCTTATCTTATTTTGAAAGCTCTCTTCATCCTCTTGTTACTTATTTTGTTCTTAAAATGGTAATAAAAATTAGTTTAATTATAATAATAAGGAAAAATGAAAGTTTCTCCTTTCACATTTGGTAATATATACAGGAGAAGAGGTTACTAGCCCCTTGCTCCTGGCATATTAGTTGCCTCTTACAACATGCATGCATTTCCTCTTACCTCCCCATGGAGGTAAGAGGAAATAAACAAGAACAAGAACGAGAAAGAAAACAGAAGAAAACCCAGAGGGGTGTGTATATATATGTTTGTACATGTATGTGTAGTGTGACCTAAGTGTAAGTAGAAGTAGCAAGACGTACCTGAAATCTCGCATGTGTATGAGACAGAATAAAAAGACACCAGCAATCCTACCATCATGTAAAACAATTACAGGCTTCCGTTTTACATGCACTTGGCAGGACGGTAGTACCTCCCTGGGCGGTTGCTGTCTACCAACCTACTACCTAGACTTTCTGACATACCTGTGACATATCTGTGCTTTTAACTTCCAGCTGTGCCCCTGTCTCTCAAACAGCCTGTCTCTGTCTGCCATAACAATTCCTCTGAGTATTTTGCATGTTATCATGTCTTCCCTGGTCCTTCTGTCCTCCAGTGTCATTAGATTCAATTCCATTGGCCTGTCTTCATAGCTCATATTCTTAGCTCTGAATCTAGTCTAATTGCATACTTCTGCAGGTTTATTGCTTCCCCATGAATACAATAAAACATAGCATGTAATTTATGCTGTCACCATCATCTTTTTTTCATCAAGCTACTCCTGTCTGCCACTAAATTTCATCACTTTTTTTTTTTTTTTTTTTTTTACTATTAATAGGTGGTGTACTGGGGTAGTGATAAGAAAAGATATCAGCTGGAAGTGCCAGAGCATGTCAGTAAGAAAGCTGGTGACAGTTACGAGCTGCAGGGTCAAAAGAAAGGTTACAAGCGATTCTGGACACCAACCACTAAAAAATTATTAGCAGACATGATTAGCGGAGAAGAACATCGGGATGCAGCTCTTAATGATATATCACGCAGAATATTCCATCAGTTTGACGAACAGTAAGTATGAATTTTGTATAATTTTCTTGTTCTTTGGCAATATACAGGAGTCCTTTTTTTTTTTTTTTTAATCAAGAAATAATACAGGAATGAAACTGGTAACAATTGGGATTTTATGTCTTTTTGGTAAAATAATTCAGACCATTTGTAGCAAAAACAGGAAAAGCCAATTTAACTTACATTTAATAAAAGTTTTTTAAATAATTACAGTATATTGAGTATAGTACTAATGCCAGTCATTGAAGAGCCTGATAACTGAACACAAACTGTATATTTATATTATCTTCTTTCAACACACCGGCCCAAAAAAGAAAAGCGAAAGTTTCTTTTTTTAACTTTCAGTAATGTATACAGGAGAAGGGTTTACTAGCCACTTGCTCCCGGCATTTTAGTTGCCCCTTACAACTCGTATGGCTTACAGAGGAAAAATTGTGTTCCATTTTCCCATGGAGATAAGAGGGAATAAACAAGAACAAGAACTAGTGAGAAAATAGAAGAAAACCCAGAGGGGTGTGTATATATATATATATATATCTTTCAACACGCCGGCCGTGTCCCACCAAGGCGGGGTGGCCCAAAAGGAAACACGAAAGTTTCTCCTTTTACATTTAGTATTATATACAGGAGAAAGGGTTACTAGCCCCTTGCTCCCGGCATTTAAGTCGCCTCTTACGACACCCATGGCTTACGGAGGAAGAATTCTGTTTCACTTCCCCATGGAGATAAGAGGAAATAAACAAGAACAAAAACTAGAAAGAAAATAGAAGAAAACCCAGAGGGGTGTGTATATATATGCTTGTACATGTATGTGTAGTGTGACCTAAGTGTAAGTAGAAGTAGCAAGATGTACCTGAAATCTTGCATGTTTATGAGACAGAAAAAAGACACTAGCAACCCTACCATCATGTAATAACAATTACAGGCTTCTGTTTTACACTCGCTTGGCAGGATGGTAGTACCTCCCTGGGTGGTTGCTCTCTACCAGCCTACTACCTAGGACATTTATATCTTATTGAGAAATCATTTACATTTCATTTTTTTCCCCCACATTAGCTGTCTCCACCATAGTAAGATGATCCAAAAAAAGGAAACACACATACAATAGTTGTTTTATTAGCAGAGTGCAGGCATCAAAATTCAACTGGCTATATGGACTAACACATGCCTGCTCCTCTTTCAGATTGCATGCTTCACAGAATCCCTTAATAAATGTTATCTTAATCATGCTTAACAGCTCCCTAAATCACTGATTTAATACACTCAAGCCTCTTCCGTTAAAAAGATCCTTATCACCCTTCCTGGGGGCAACCTGTCCTTTCCCTTATCTTCTAACCCTTCCCTGGATTTATAAACATTCTTGGTTATCATAATCTCCATTCTTTTTAAATGACAAAACCATCTTACCCCTTAAGCTCTCTGTACCTCACTAATTTAAAGCCCTTTCTACTTCCATGTAGGGAATCTTTTTCTATGGGAAACAACACCAAAAGTGAAAAACTTGATATTTACTTACAGAATTACACTGGTGTGAAGATGAAGGTTTGGGAGCATTTTACACACAAGCAGTTTTGCCTAATTTGAGGCCTATTCCAATGCTCAAATTAACTCAGTTCATTGTTGTTTTGCTAGTTTGCCTTCTGTACTATCTGTTCATTGCAAGAAACTGCCCCCTTCACCCATCAGAAGTTGGTACTATAGCCAGTTTTACACCGTTTTCACCAAATTTCAAAACAAAAATTGTAAGCCTTCCAGCCACTATAGCAATCTTTCTTCTGTTCATTAATCATTTTTCCAGGCCTCTCCTGTATAGAACACTTACCCTCCAGTTTCAATCCATTTTCACAGAAAAAAAATCAAAGTTTTTCCAATTTTTCGGCTCATAAACCGTCAGAGTAAGTGCTTGATCGTAGTTTAGGTCATCCCAGTAATTGAACCTGACTTAATAATAACCCATTGAACAGATGGGGGGTGAGGGGAAGGGACCAACCCAGGTCCTGCTCTTTTTCCAAGAAAGTTGGTTGGTCCCACCGTTACCCAGGAAAATTGGGTTAGACCCACCGTTTCCCAGGAAAATTATCCAAAATTGATCATTTCTCGTTTCTTTGATGCCTTTTTCAGGCAACTTCCATTATTAACCCTTTCATTGTCCAGACCATTGAACTGAGAATCTTTTTCTGACGATAATAAAACAAAAAGTATGAAATTTGATGGAAAATTGACAAAATTACGCTTTCATGAATTTTGCCGCATCAGCGATATTTACACATCAGTGATTTTATCCACTTCGAATTGTTCCAATAGGCCAATTTTTTTGCTGTTTCACTAGTATGTCTTCCACTTTATTGAATGAGCACAAGAAACCACCCAGCCATTTCACATTTCCAGTAAAGTGATCAGGAATTGGTAATTTGGCCAGTTTCACACAAATTTCAAAATAAGAGTCCAGAATAAACAGTGTAGGCATTCTGGCACTAAAATAACATTTCCTCTGTTCATTAGTTATGTTCCCAGGCTTTACACATAAATACTGTTTTTGACTCTGTTCGCAAAAAAATAGAAGATTTACTGTTATGCAATATTGTAATAATTGCATAAATAATACCAGCGCTTTTGTGAACACTTATTAGACCCAGCAGTTTGACGTGTAATGGACATGTGATGTGATTTCTGTACTCATTTCCACTACTCTGAACTCAATTTCAAGCTATTGTCAGTCCTGAAACTAATCAGAATCTGTATTATATATTCCATTCTATCAAATGAGAAACCAAGAATACAACAATACAACCAAAAACCACGAGAAAATTCACCACAAAGTCACTGTTTTAAACCAAAAATGCTGTCAGTTTTTTCCCTCATTATGCACTGCATGTTGTAGGATTTTTTTTATATCGTGCACTCTTACTGCATAGACCCATTCATATCTAGGCCCAAATTTACCACTCTCCGCTTATCTGAGTGAGCTGAACTCATGGCGTAGCATTATGGCACTGACAATGACCTCAAACCCATAATACTACAGCACCGACAATGAAAGGGTTAAACTGGCTGTGTTCTTGTCTATTTTACTAGTTTTTTTAGGTCAATTGGCACAAAAAAAACAGCCAAATAAAACTGATGCATATTTTGTGGATATGCAGGAGGACCCTGCTTATACAGCAGATTAGATTCCGGGCTACTGTTGTAAAGCAAAAATCAATGTAAAGTGAATCATAGCCTTTTTTTCACTTTCAAATGCCCATAAAAGCCTGATAACATGTTTACACTATCATATGTTAAGTGAGTAATAGCCCTAAAATATGAACATACAGTTCACACATTACTGTGTACTGTATGTCCTTAGCTTATAGTGAGTGGTGAATATATTGTAGGAAGTCTGAATAAATGAAGAATGGGTATAATTGAAAAACCACTGCATTAGCGAAACACCATAAAGCAAAGCACTGTAAACTGCACACTTTTATCTTTATCCCTATATATGTGTTTGGAGTGACATCTAAACTGTCATATCTGAGTGCCTCTGCGAAGATAGTGATTATGTGTAAATGATGGTGAAAGTGTTTCTTTTTTGGGTTACCCTGCGTCAGTGAGAGATGGCCGACATGTCAAAAAAAAAAAAAAAAAAAAGTGCATAGTCTTTTAATTGGCTTGCATTTTGCTCTCCTCTTCAGGTTTTCTTGTTCCTACCAGTCTTGTCTTGCTCTTTTTATTCTACTGATCATTTCTTAGTTTTTGCTGCTGAAGTGATCCTTATCCTTCCTTACATAAGAACTTTACTAGTACAAACAAGGGATAAGACTGAATTTACTTTCTTAATAACCAAACCTGTATATAAAATTCTTCAGTTAAACTTTCAAGTTATCTTTTTAAAGTTTTATAAATATTTAAAAGTGTTGAAATATTTGGGTATGATATTTACATAACACTATGATACCCAAGAATAGGGAGTGCTTAAGAGAACAAAATATTATTAATATTACTAGAGCTCATAGATACCGTACTTTGTTCATAACAGGTAATGAATTATTATTGTATACTTTCAGCCATAAAAAATGGGAAGCAGTTGTGCAGTGTTTGTCAGTGCTTGATGTTCTGATATCTCTTACATGTTACGCAAAGGAAGTCAGTACTGTTAGACCAAACGTAGTTATGCCTGAAGAAAAAGTTCAGGTTAGTTACATTACCATTTTTATTGATTTGATCCTATAATGATAAGGCAAATAGAATGTCTTCCATATATTTCTGGTTTTAAACACATACCGAGGTATGTTGCTATGCTTGCATTTCATTATATTTTAGAAATGTGCTTAATACTAATTAACTTTACTGACCACTGATGGATAAAGGATCAAATGACAGATGTACATAATTTTTGTTGTGTGGTGGTATTAGTGTTCAGTGATTTTTCCCAAGTGTAGAAGGTATAGTTTTATTAAAGATTCATTGTCATTCAGTGTTATGAGCCCTTTTTCCTTAATACTTTCCTATATTTTTTCAGTGAATGCCTACCCACCTTGAAACTGGGAAATCATGATATGATGCTGTTAGTGGGAAAATGAGAGAATTAAAATAAGTGTATTGTCAATTTCAGCCATTCCTAGAAATCAGAGATGGTCTTCATCCATGTGTGACAGCAACGTTTAGTGGTGATGAATTCATTCCTAATGATGTGGTTATGGGTGGCACTAGTGAAGATGCTCATTCGAACCTGGTGCTGGTCACAGGACCAAATATGGGTGGCAAATCAACACTTATGAGACAGACTGCTCTTATATGTATTCTAGCACAGTTGGTAAGTAATTTCTATAACATTTTTATTGTTTCTTTTTTAGGCTTACCACATATATAGTAATCACATCATTTCTTGTTGGACATTAATAATGGCATTATTAGCTAATGTTAGATTCTTTGGAAGCCACTTCTTTTTGACAATAGGATACCTTTGTTTCCAAACAAAATCTCAACAAATTCAGGGATTTGCATTAATTAGTGTGTGCACATTTATAAGGCAATTTTGGATAGTCTTACCTAGTGCTGTATAAGACATACGAAACCTCTCCTCTGGCTCTAGTATACAAGTCTCCATCCTCGTACCTTTGTATGAGATTGATAAAGCCTGTTGTGCAGTGAAATTTCTTTATATAAATATTTCCAGGTGTTACACATGTCTTTTTCATCAGCGTGTCGATATTGTTGACCTTTGGTGTAATGATACCTACAGTATAGCTTCCTTAACTTTTTTTTCTTACCAGCTGTATCCCACTAAAGCAGGGTGACCCAGAAAGAAAAACAAAAGTCTTTCTTTTTACATTTAGTAATTTATACAGGAGAAGGGGCTACTAGCCCCTTCTTTCCAGCATATAATTGCCTCTCCATTTCCTCATGTAGTAATCCTTGAAATTATACCTGTATATTCCCTCTTTTCCTTCCATAACTGATCATTTAACATTACCAGTACTCCTTCCTTAGCTCTAATTCTCTCAGACACACCTGACCTAATCCTTTTTCTTTCTTTCTTCTGAAATTCTTGAACCCCATTCAACCTTGTTTTGCTTAGAGCTAGGACATCCAGATTTTCATTTATAACACTCACAACCATCTCTTTCTCTTTCTTATCATCTGTACTACATCCACACACATTTAAACATCCTAACTTTAAAATATTTTTAAATTTAGTAATTTATACTGGAGAAGTAGCTACTAACCCATTACTCCCAACATTTTTGCAACCTTTCATAACACTCATGGCTTCCAGAGGAAGGATAAAAGGTTGATGGGTAGGCTCCAGGATGTACATGTTTATAGAGGGGCAACTGATATATCGGATCATTATTTAGTTATAGCTACAGTTAGAGTAAGAGGTAGATGGGAAAAGAGGAAGGTGGCAAGCAACAAGTAAGAGGGAGGTGAATGTATAAACTAAGGGAGGAGGAAGTTCGGGTGAGATATAAGCGACTATTGGCAGAAAGGTGGGCTAGTGCAAAGATGAGTAGTGGGGGGATTGAAGAGGGTTGGAATAGTTTTAAAAAAGCAGTATTAGAATGTGGGGCAGAAGTTTGTGGTTATAGGAGGGTGGGGGCAGGAGGAAAGAGGAGTGATTGGTGGAATGATGAAGTAAAGGGTGTGATAAAAGAGAAAAAGGTAGCTTATGAGAGGTTTTTACAAAGCAGAAGTGTTATAAGAAGAGCAGAGTATATGGAGAGTAAAAGAAAGGTAAAGAAGTGGTGAGAGAGTGCAAAAGGAGAGCAGATGATAGAGTGGGAGAGTCACTGTCAAGAAATTTTAATGAAAATAAGAAAAAATTTTGGAGTGAGTTAAACAAGTTAAGAAAGCCTAGGGAAAGTATGGATTTGTCAGTTAAAAACAGAGTAGGGGAGTTAGTAGTAGATGGGGAGATGGAGGTATTAGGTAGATGGCGAGAATATTTTGAGGAACTTTTAAATGTTAAGGAAGAAAGAGAGGCAGTAATTTCATGCACTGGTCAGGGAGGTATACCATCTTTTAGGAGTGAAGAAGAGCAGAATGTAAGTGTGGGGAGGTACGTGAGGCATTACATAGAATGAAAGGGGGTAAAGCAGCTGGAACTGATGGTATCATGACAGAAATGTTAAAAGCAGGGGGGATATAGTATTGGAGTGGTTGGTACTTTTGTTTATTAAATGTATGAAAGAGGGGAAGGTACCTAGGGATTGGCGGAGAGCATGTATAGTCCCTTTATATAAAGGGAAAGGGGACAAAAGAGACTGTAAAAATTATAGAGGAATAAGTTTACTGAGTATACCAGGAAAAGTGTATGGTAGGGTTATTATTGAAAGAATTAGAGGTAAGACAGAATGTAGGATTGCGGATGAGCAAGGAGGTTTCAGAGTGGGTAGGGGATGTGTAGATCAAGTGTTTACTTTGTAGCATATATGTGAACAGTATTTAGATAAAGGTAGGGAAGTTTTTATTGCATTTATGGATTTAGAAAAGGCATATGATAGAGTGGATAGAGGAGCAATGTGGCAGATGTTGCAAGTATATGGAATTTGTGGTAAGTTATTAAATGCTGTAAAGAGTTTTTATGAGGATAGTGAGGCTCAGGTTAGGGTGCGTAGAAGAGAGGGAGACTACTTCCCGGTAAAAATAGGTCTTAGACAGGGATGTGTAATGCCACCATGGTGGTTTTAATATATTTATAGATGGGGTTGTAAAGGAAGTAAATGCTAGGGTGTTCAGGAGAGGGGTGGGATTAAATTTTGGGGAATCAAATTCAAAATGGGAATTGACACAGTTACTTTTTGCTGATGATACTGTACTTATGGGAGATTCTAAAGAAAAATTGCAAAGGTTAGTGGATGAGTTTGGCAATGTGTGTAAAGGTAGAAAGTTGAAAGTGAACATATAAAAGAGTAAGGTGATGATGGTATCAAATGATTTAGATAAAGAAAAATTGGATATCAAATTGGGGAGGAGGAGTATGGAAGAAGTGAACGTTTTCAGATACTTGGGAGTTGACGTGTCGGCGGATGGATTTATGAAGGATGAGGTTAATCATAGAATTGATGAGGGAAAAAAGGTGAGTGGTGCGTTGAGGTATATGTGGAGTCAAAAAACGTTATCTATGGAGGCAAAGAAGGGAATGTTTGAAAGTATAGTAGTACCAACACTCTTATATGGGTGTGAAGCTTGGGTGGTAAATGCAGCAGCGAGGAGACGGTTGGAGGCAGTGGAGATGTCCTGTTTAAGGGAAGTGTGTGGTGTAAATATTATGCAGAAAATTCGGAGTGTGGAAATTAGGAAAAGGTGTGGAGTTAATAAAAGTATTAGTCAGAGGGCAGAAGAGGGGTTGTTGAGGTGGTTTGGTGATTTAGAGAGAATGGATCAAAGTAGAATGACATGGAAAGCATATAAATCTATAGGGGAAGGAAGGCGGGGTAGGGGTCGTCCTCGAAAGGGTTGGAGAGAGGGGGTAAAGGAAGTTTTGTGGGCAAGGGGCTTGGACTTCCAGCAAGCGTGCATGAGTGTGTTAGATAGGAGTGAATGGAGACGAATGGTACTTGGGACCTGACGATCTGTTGGAGTGTGAGCAGGGTAATATTTAGTGAAGGGATTCAGGGAAACCGGTTATTTTCATATAGTCGGACTTGAGTCCTGGAAATGGGAAGTACAATGCCTGCACTTTAAAGGAGGGGTTTGGGATATTGGCAGTTTGGAGGGATATGTTGTATATCTTGATATGTGTATGCTTCTAAACTGTTGTATTCTGAGCACCTCTGCAAAAACAGTGATATTGTATGAGTGTGGTGAAAGTGTTGAATGATGAAAGTATTTTCTTTTTGGGGATTTTCTTTCTTTTTTGGGTCACCCTGCCTCGGTGGGAGACGGCCGACTTGTTGAAAAAAAAAATCGGCCATTTCCCACTGAGGCAGGGTGACCCAAATAAAGAAGAAACACTTTCATCATCACTCCGCTGTCTTGCCAGAGGTGTGCTGATACTATAGTTTAAAACCTGCAACATATCTCCACCCTCTCCTTCAGAATGGAGGTACTGTGGTTCCTACCTACATATTACTTTGCTCACGCTCCAGCAGCATGTTAGGTCATAAAAACCACTTGCCCCCATTCGTTCCTAACATGCTTACACACGCTCGCTGGAAGTCCAAGCCCTTTACACACACCTCCTCCTTTACCCCTTCCCTCCAACCTTTCCTAGGACGACCCCTACCCTGCTTTCCTTTCATTTCAAATTTATATGCCCTCCAAGTCATTTTATTTTGTTTCATCCTCTCTAATGTCCAAACCATCTCAGCAACCCCTTTAGCCCTCTGAATAATACTTTTTTTTTTTTTAACCCTGCAACTCCTTTTAATCTCCAAGGTATTGATTCTCTGCATAATGTTCATACCACACATTGCCCTTAGACATAACATCTCCACTGCCTCCAGCCTTCTTGTTGCAACATTCACCACCCATGCTTCACACCCATAAAAAAGCATTGTTACCACTATTCTCTCATACATTCCCTGCTTTGCCTCCATGGATAATGTTCTTTATCTCCGCACTCTTCAGTGCACCACTCACCTCTTCCCCTTTTCAGTTTTATTGTTCACCTCATCTTTCATAGACCCATCTGCTGACAAGTCCACTCTGAAATATCTTAACACATTCACTTTATGTGGATAGTGAGGATCAGGTTAGGATGTGTAGAAGAGAGGGAGACTGCTTCCCAGTAAAAATAGGTCTTAGGGATGTGTAATGTCACCATGGTTGTTTAATATATTTTTAGATGGGTTGTAAAAGAAGTAAATGCTAGGGTGTTCAGGAGAGGGGTGGGATTAAATTATGGGGAATTAAATACAAATGGGAATTGACACAGTTGCTTTTTGCTGATGATACTGTACATATCGGAGATTCTGAAGAAAAATTGCAAAGGTTAGTGGAGTGTGTGTAAAGGTAGAAAGTTGAAAGTGAACATAGAAAGAGTAAGGTGATGAGGGTATCAAATGATTTAGATAAAGAAATATTGGATATCAAATTGGGGAGGAGTATGGAAAAAGTTAATGTTTTCAGATACTTGGGAGTTGACGTGTCGGCGGATGGATTTATGAAGGATGAGGTTAATCGTAGAATTGATGAGGGGAAAAAAGGTGAGTGGTGCGTTGAGGTATATGTGGAGACAAAATACGTTATCTATGGAGGCAAAGAAGGGAATGTATGAAAGTATAGTAGTACCAACACTCTTATATGGGTGTGAAGCTAGGGTTGTGAATGCAGCAGCGAGGAGGCGGTTGGAGGCAGTGGAGATGTCCTGTCTAAGGGCAATAGTGTGATGTAAATGTTATGCAGAAAATTCGGAGTGTGAAATTAGGAGAAGGTGCGGAGTTAATAAAAGTATTAGTCAGAGGGCTGAAGAGGGGTTGTTGAGGTGGTTTGGTCATTTAGAGAGAATGGATCAAAGTAGAATGACATGTAGAGCATATAAATCTGTAGGGGAAGGAAGGCGGGGTAGGAGTCGTCCTCGAAAAGGTTGGAAGGAAGGGGCAAGGGGCTTGGATTTCCAACAGGCATGCATGAGCGTGTTCGATAGGAGTGAATGGAGACGAATGGTATTTGGGACCTGACGATCTGTTGGAGTGTGAGCAGGGCAATATTTAGTGAAGGGATTCAGGGAAACCAGTTATTTTTATATAGCCGGACTTGAGTCCTGGAAATGGGAAGTACAATGCCTGCACTCTAAAGAGGGGTTCGGGATATTAGCAGTTTGGAGGGATATGTTGTGTATCTTCATACATGTATGCTTCTAAACTGTTGTGTTCTGAGCATCTCTGCAAAAACAGTGATTATGTGTGAGTGAGGTGAAAGTGTTTAATGATGATGAAAGTATTTTCTTTTTGGGGATTTTCTTTCTTTTTGGGTCACCCTGCCTCGGTGGGAGACAGCCAACTTGTTAAAAAAAAAAAAATCACTTCCTCCATACTCCCTCCCTCCAATCTTTCATTTCCTAAAATTTTGTTATCCTCATAACTTTGCTCTTTCCCTTGTTCAATTTTAATTTCCCTCTTTTGCATACCTCTCACATTTGTCCACTAACCTCTGCAACTTTTCTTCAGAATCTCTCAAAAGCAGTGTCATCAGCAAAAAGCAACTGTGACAACTCCCATTTTGTGTTAGATTCTATATCTTTTAATCACACACTTCTTCCTAACACCCAAGCATTCACCTCTCTTCCAGTCCCATCTATAAATATATTGAACAACCACGGTGACATCATGATCCCTGTCTAAGGTCTACTTTTACTGGGATTGTTATTCTTTTTATAAATATTAAACACTTATAAATAAACAGTCTGGTTAGCCAGACTTGTCCTGGAGGTGGGAAGTACAGTGCCTGCACTCTAAAAGGAGTGGGTTGGGATATTTGCTGTTTAAAGTGACATCTAAACTGTCATATTTGTGTGCCTCTGACAAGACGGTGATAGTGTGAATGATGGTGAAAGTTTCTTTTTTGGGTCACCCTGCCTTAGTGGGAAACAGCCAGCATATTAAAAAAAAAAAATAGAATCATTCATTTATAAATCAAGATTTCTTATTTATTCTCTTACTTTTGAATGAAAATAAGTGTAACATTAGTATAATATTCTGTCTGCAGATTTTTTTTTTTTTTGCTACTCTTAAGTTAATATAACTATTAACCCTTAAACGGTCCAAACATATATACTATATGTTTTTTCAACATTTGAAAGTATGTAAAAAAATGTACATCATCTTTTTTTTTTTACATTTGAAAATGTGTAAAAAAAACTTTTATCTACATTTTTTTTTATATTTGAAAATATGTAAAAAAAAACATAGATCTACTTTTGGAGCACTACGGATTTGAACGTCGATCTATTTGGACCGTTTAAGGGTTAGTGAAAAAATATCTGATGCTTATTATTTATGATTGTATCCTCAGGGATCATTTGTTCCTGCAAGGTCATGCCAGTTGACTCCAATAGATCGGGTTTTTACCAGACTTGGAGCATCTGATCGGATCATGATGGGAGAATCCACATTCTTCGTAGAGTTGGCAGAAACATCTTCCATTATCCAGCATTCTACCCAACATTCACTTGTTTTGGTTGATGAACTGGGTCAGTTTAAAACATGGTACTCTTATTATAGAGTATGGGTCTTTAACATTGTTTGCCATTAGCTTTATTCAGCATATCTCTAGCACAAATATATTTAGTTGATTTTTCAAATAAACTGTTTTGAGGTAGGATTATATCATATTGATTGAAAGTGTTACTGCTAAATTTTACCTACTATAAATGCAAAAAATACATACAGTAGTACATAAAGAAAAGAACGTTAGTTCTCACAATAAAAAGAGGTGTAACTAAAACATGGTAAGCTTTCTTTGTTAAATGCCATATAAATGTTTAATATTTTTCTGTATTGTATTAATGAGGTTTTGATTGCAGTAGTTAAATGTGTTAGTTTCTGGTAAGATAGTTATTATTATTGTTGGACATCTTTAATGTAAGTTCTGTTAGTCACAGTAAAAGAGAAGAATCTATTGAATTTATTTTGTCATAAGCTGGCAGTAAACATTATTCATATTTGGAAAATACTTGTGTGTTTTTGTGAGACTGTTTTCTGCTAAAATTTAAAAGTTTTTTTTTTTTAGGTAGTATGTGTGCTAAAATCTTTTAATTAGAATAGTAAGTGTTTTAGAGTATCTTTTTATTGTTTCTTTAGGAATGTTTTTGCTAGCATCTTGTCAGTAATTATGAATGAATTTAGTGTTTAAAGCATACTTGCATTGCATCTTATGGTCAAGCACCAGCAGTTTGAAATACAGTACATTCTCCTTTCTTTTTAACACACCAGCCATCTCCCACCAAGGTAGGGTGACCCAAAAAAGAAACATTTATTCTATCACTGTCTCTCCAGAGGCTCACTGATACCGCAGTTCAGATTTCCCTCCAAACTTCAAATATCCCTACCCCTCCTTTAGAGTGCAGGCACTGTACTTCCCACCTCCAGGACTCATGTGTGGCTAACTGGTTACCCTGAATCCCTTCGCAAAATGTTACCTTACACTCACCTGTTCATCAAGTCCCAAAAACCATTTGCTTCCACTCTTGTGTAATATACTTACATATGCCTGTTGGATGTCCGAGCCCCTTGCACACAAAACCACCTTTACCCCCCTCCCTCCAACTTTCCCTAGGGCAACCCCTACTCAACCTTCGCTACAGATTTATACACCCTCCAAGTCATCCTATTTTGCTCCATCCTCTCTAAATGTCCAAACCACCTGAACAACCCCTCCTCTGCCCTCTGCACAATATTTTTAGGAACCACCACCTCATGATCTTCAAGCTAAGAATTCTCTGCCTTTTTTTTTATACAGGTTATTCTTTATTGTTTATGCATTGAAGTAATACTTCATTTGATTAGCATTGTAATTTAATCATCTGTACATTAGAGTATTCCATCCAGTTTCAGTGCTGTAAATTATACCCTTTGTAAAATACATATGGTATCATTATTTACACATCTAATTTCGTTTCAATTCATTTTTTAGGCCGTGGTACAGCAACTTATGATGGCACAGCAATTGCATCTGCAGTGGTGAAAGCAATAGTTCAGCTAAAGTGTCGAACACTCTTCTCCACTCATTATCACTCTTTAGTTGATGATTTCGCTAATGTGAAATATGTTTCTCTTGGTCATATGGTAAGCCACTTACTTTAGTTGCTCAAGTATTTCCTGCATCCTTAATTGCTTTTTGTATCATATCAGCTTACTGTTGAAGACTTACCAGTAATAGGATGGAAGTAGTTTAAAAGCCATTAGAAAACTTTTTTTTTTTTTTAGTACCTGTAGATATTCACTGGATACCAAGGAACTGTAATTTAAACTTGGAACAATGTGACCCTAAGAGCCAATAGACATCTCAAGTATGCCAGTAATTAATGTAAGCTTCACAGTATTGTTAATGTGATTTGAGAGTAATGTCACATTAGTCTTATACCACTCATGACATTTTCTGCAAAATTTTGTATATAATATGGTGTTCCAGTATTCAGCAATTAATTAATTAATTAATGGAGGGATATGTTGTGTATCTTTATATGTTTATGCTTCTAGACTGTTGTATTCTGAGCACCTCTGCAAAAACAGTGATAATGTGCGAGTGTGGTGAAAGTGTTGAATGATGATGAAAGTATTTTCTTTTTGGGGATTTTCTTTCTTTTTTGGGTCACCCTGCCTCGGTGGGAGACGGCCGACTTGTTGAAAAAAAAAAAAAAAAAAAAAAAAAAAAAAAAAAGAGTTTCAGTGGAGAGAAGTAAATGGGATAGGTCAGGGGCTTCAAATAGAGTTAGAGCTAAAGAAGGAGTAGCAATAATGTTGAAGGATAAGCTATGGCAGGAAAAGAGAGTATAAATGTATTAATTCAAGGATTATGTGGAGTAAAATAAAGGTTGGATGTGAAAAGTGGGTCATAGCAAGCTTATATGCACCTGGAGACGAGAGAAGTGTAGAGGAGAGAGAGAGGTTTTGGGAATTGTTGAGTGAGTGTGTGAGGAGTTTTGAACCAAGTGTGAGAGTACTTATGGTTGGGGATTTCAATGCTAAAGTGGGTAAAAATGTTGTGGAGGGAGTAGTAGGTAAATTTGGGGTGCTAGGGGTAAATGAAAATGGGGAGCCTTTAATTGAGTTATGTGTAGAAAGAGGTTTGGTAATAAGTAATACATATTTTATGAAAAAAGAGGATAAATAAATATACAATGTATGATATAGCACATAATGAAAGTAGTTCGTTAGATTATATATTGGTGGATAGAAGGTTGATGGGTAGGCTTCAGGATGTACATGTTTATAGAGGGGCAACTGATATATCAGATCATTATTTAGTCGTAGCTACAGTTAGAGTAAGAGGTAGATGGGATAAAAGGAAAATGGCAACAACAAGTAAGACAGAGGTAAAAGTGTATAAACTAAGGGAGGAAGAAGTTCGGGTGAAATATAAGCAACTATTGGCAGAAAGGTGGGCTAGTGCAAGTATGAGTAGTGGGGGGGGGGTTGAAGAGGGTTGGAATAGTTTTAAAAATGCAGTATTAGAATGTGAGGCAGAAGTTTGTGGCTATAGGAGGGTGGGGGCAGGAGGAAAGAGGAGTGATTGGTGGAATGATGAAGTAAAGGGTGTGATAAAAGAGAAAAAGGTAGCTTATGAGAGGTTTTTCACAAAGCAGAAGTATTATAAGAAGAGCAGAGTATATGGAGAGTAAAAGAAAGGCGAAGAGAGTGGCGAGAGAGTGTAAAAGGAGAGCAGAGAGGCACTGTCAAGAAATTTTGATGAAAATAAGAAAAAATTTTGGAGCGAGATAAACAAGTTAAGAAAACCTTGGGAACGAATGGATTTGTCAGATAAAAACAGAGTAGGGGAGTTAGTAGATGGGAAGATGGAGGTACATATTGGGTAGATGGCAGGAATATTTTGAGGAACTTTTAAATGTCGATGAAGAAAGGGAGGCGGTAATTTCATGCACTGGCCAGGGAGGTATACCATCTTTTAGGAGTGAAGAAGAGCAGGATGTAAGTGTGGGGGAGGTGCATGAGGCATTACGTAGAATGAAAGGGGGTAAAGCAGCTTGAACTGACGGGATCATGACAGAAATGTTAAACACAGGGGGCGATATAGTGTTGGAGTGGTTGGTATTTTTGTTTAATAAATGTACGAAAGAGGGGAAGGTACCTAGGGATTGGCAGAGAGCAGATATAATTCCTTTATATAAAGGGAAGGGGGACAAAAGAGATTGTAAAAATTATAGAGGAATAAGTTTACTGATTATACCAGGAAAAGTGTATGGTAGGGTTATTATTGAAAGAATTAGAGGCAAGACAGAATGTAGGATTGCGGATGAGCAAGGAGGTTTTAGAGTGGGTAGGGGATGTGAAGATCAAGTGTTTACATTGAAGCATATATGTGAACAGTATTTAGATAAAGGTAGGGAAGTCTTCATTGCATTAATAGATTTAGAAAAGGCATATGATAGAGTGGATAGGGGAGCAATTTGGTAGATGTTGCAAGTTTCTGGAATAGGTAGTAAGCTACTAAATGCTGTAAAGAGTTTTTATGAGGATAGTGAGGCTCAGGTTACGGTGTGTAGAAAGAGGGAGACTACTTCCTGGTAAAGGTGGTTCTTAGACAGGGATGTGTAATATCACCAATTGTTTAATATATAGATGGGGTTGTAAAAGAGGTAAAAATGCTAGGGTGTTGGGGAGAGGGGTGGGATTAAATTATGGGGAATTAAATACAAAATGGAAATTGATACAGTTACTTTTTGCTGATGATACTGTGCTTATGGGAGATTCTAAAGAAAAGTTGCAAAGGTTAGCGGACGAGTTTTGGAGTGTGTGTAAAGGTAGAAAGTGAACATAGAAAACAGTAAGGTGATGAGGGTATCAAATGATTTAGATAAAGATAAATTGTATATCAAATTAGAGAGGAATAGTATGGAAGAGGTGAATGTTTTCAGATATTTGGGAGTTGATGTGTCAGCAGATGGATGTATGAAGGATGAGGTTAACCATAGAATTGATGAAGGAAAAAAAGGTGAGTGGTGCATTGAGGTATATTTGGAGACGAAAAACATTATCTATGGAGTGTGAAGCTTGGGTTGTAAATGCTGCAGTGAGAAGGCGGTTGGAGGCAGTGGAGATGTCCTGTCTAAGGGCAATGTGTGGTTAAATATTATGCAGAGAATTCGGAGTGTGGAAATTAGGAAAAGGTGTGGAGTTAATAAAAGTATTAGAGGGCTGAAGAGGGGTTGTTGAGGTGGTTTGGTCATTTAAAGAGACTGGATCAAAGTAGAATGACATGGAGAGCGTATAAATCTGTAGGGAAAGGCAGGCGGGGTAGGGGTCGTCCTCAAAAAGGTTGGAGGGAGGGGCTTGCACTTCCAGCAAGCATGCGTGAGCGTGTTAATAGGAGCGAATGGAGATGAATGGTATTTGGAACCTGACGAGCTGTTGGAGTGTGAGCAGGGTAATACTATTTAGTGAAGAGATTCAGGGAAACTGGTTATTTTTATACAGCCGGACTTGAGTACTGGAAATGGGAAGTACAATGCCTGCCCTTTAAAGGAGGGGTTTGGGATATTGGCAGTTTGGAAGGATATGTTGTGTATCTTTATACATATATGCTTCTAAACTGTTGTGTTCTGAGCACCTCTGCAAAAACAGTGATTATGTATGAGTGAGGTGAAAATGTTGAATGATGATGAAAGTATTTTCTTTGTGGGGATTTTCTCTCTCTTTGAGTCACCCTGCCTCGGTGGGAGACGGCCAACTTGTGAAAAAAAAAAATTACAGGTGTGCTGTGGGTGACTAGTGGTCATATTTGGAGGTGGCCTGTGGTGGGAAATATGCTAGGTTTTATGTGTGGACACTTCTGTTGTTTTAAACTTCATTTAGCAGTGTAATCTACAGTAGCTTTCTATCAGCAAGTTAGGCTTGGTCTGAAAGTGGATTATGGAAGCAGTGATGTCTGGAATAATTTCATAAGTACAGTGGACCCCCGGTTAACGATATTTTTTTTACTCCAGAAGTATGTTCAGGTGCCAGTACTGACCGAATTTGTTCCCATAAGGAATATTGTGAAGTAGATTAGTCCATTTCAGACCCCCAAACATACACGTACAAACGCACTTACATAAATACACTTACATAATTGGTCGCATTCGGAGGTGATCGTTATGCGGGGGTCCACTGTATAAGGGTGGAACGGTAGGTCAAATATGTTGACATTGCTTAGTTTTTCCATTTCACTAAATTATTAACATATGCATTTGTGTCAACCTCTTCATGACATCATTTTCAGCACCACTTGCAGAATAATGCCTGGAGTTATTACTGCACTCAGATCAGGGTCTAGAACATTTCCAAGTAACATTTAAGGGTCTGTGACCCTGTAACATATCTCTAGCACCAGGCCTCCAGGTGGATCAAAGGCCTGATCAACCAGACTGCATGCAGCCCAGTGTCCAGCTGAACAGAAGCTAGTGTAAGGAACTTGAATTAAGTTCCCTCTTAACCCGTAAACGGTCCAAACGTATACACGTATATACATTTTTACCGCTAGTGCCCCAGACGTATATATATGTTTTATTTTTCCTGCCTTCAAATTTGGCACGATTGGCCTAAGATGCCTTGTCAGCATAGAATGGATTCTAACACTCAGTGTGCGTGGTATTAAAAAAATCTGGGACCACTTAGTACCTTGTGGGAGCAGTTCAAATGAGCACCAGCTAGAGCAAACAGCGCAGCAAACACCTGAGATTCACTGATGTCATGTAGTGTTAACACTCCCATTTTAAGAGGAAAGTGATTTTGACCCCGAGTTTAGTGGCTTTGAGGTGGATGTGGCCACAAGTGGTCGAGGAAATATCAAAAAACCTCGATAATAACCCATGTGCAATATTTGTGCAACACCCTTTCAGAATCTCTTATAACCTATGCACTAAGTAAAGAGAAACAATTCTGGCTGGCTGGCTGCCTGACTGACTGGCTGATTGGCGGCCTGGCTCTGTCTCCATTTGTCTGTCTGTATCTATGTCTATCTCTGTCTGTCTATCTCCTATCTGTCTATCTCTGTCTCACAGGTACACATAAATATAAGTATACATAGTGTAAAATACCTAGGATAACTCAAAAAATCCAGACAAAGT